ATAATTAAAATTTGAAAATATGCTGTTTTGGCTTTATTTTATGATTTATTTTATAAGAATTCTTAGGATTTATACGGTTGACCAAATTACGCTATGAAAAAATAAAATCTCGATTTTTTGTGTTTCGGGAAAATGATCATATTTTTTGTTTGCAATGAGATAGAAGGTAGGTATATTCAAGAAAAAGTTGCACTAGGTTTTTATCTTTCCAATGGTTTATTTGGCTTCATGAAATTCGAAAAAATACGAGTTTTAGAGTCGTTTAAAAAAAATATGACCAAATTACGCTATACTCCCCTACTATTCTTTTACCGTTTTGGAGAATTCTCTTTAGAATATTACAGTATTATAAATTTAATTTTTTATTAAATATTATTTAATTTAATTAAAATCATTCTTAAAATTTTAGTAACTACTCTTTCTTTTTAGGGAACTAAAAAAATTTCTAACTGTAATGTAACCATCAATGTTGATATGCTAATTAAATGTAAATTAAATAATAATTTATATAAAAATTATTTCTCTGTATTTTAAACAATAAAATTTCGAATAATTTAAAAATATCTACGTGAAATTAATTTAATTTTTTATGTTTGTATGTGCTTTCGAGAAAGCGCGCTGTACGACGGGTAGCCATAGAGGTGCCCGCCGTATTAATGGCGCGTGCATATACCATGTGCACTTGTGCGGCGCGGCAGAATTAGTATTAATTATATTGCATAGAAAGCCGCTGTGATTGACTAAAGATTAGCAAGGTAGAATAGGTAAAAATTTTAAGTACTCTTTGACATATAATTAGAATAATAAATAAGATTTAATTGTCAAACTAAATCTTATTTAAGTTGCCATTGCTACCACTGCTCTTACTTAATAAATAGTTCTTTTTTACTAAAACAATGAAGTTAAATAATTTAAAACAGTTCAAATTTAACCCAAATTTGGGTTAAATTTCATTGTTTTAGTTAAAAATATAACTATTTATTAAGTAGAAGCAGTGGCGACTTAAATAAGTTTGACACTATACATTAAACAGTGTAATACCCGATAATTAATTGGTTGCAATCGCGAAATTAGATATTATAATATTATTATTATTACGATATTAAAATATGATATTGTGATATTTTCCACAGCACGGATGAGCACCAAAAAATCGTGGATATTACCGACATAATCGTGGACATTGGCTACGTAGTTCAATGTTCACACGTTTTATGGACATAGAGGCGCTTGGGACATGGCCGCCCATCACATTGGCCGCTCGCCGCTCTGAATAGTCTGAATGCTCTGAAGTCTGAGAATCCTCTGCTCTCGTTTCTTCTTGTATGAAAGGATCGCGGTGTTGACTTAGCGTGTTCTTGAGTCGATCAAAGTAGACTGAATTTGAAAGTAAAGATGGAAACAATATTGGAACAACAACGACGATATCATGAAGAAAGGGAGCGACTGATGGACGCGATGGTGAAGGAGATGTTGCACAAAAAGGCGGGACATCGCGAGAACATCAACTCGGAGCATCGCCTGAAAATGTTGCTGGATCAGTTTATGGACAGTACAATGCACTTGCAAGACTTGTACGAGGATAAGGATGGGCAGAGAAAAGAGGAAGTACGTTGATATAAGATTTTCAATATTATGTGTTACATAAAAACATTACTTTCCTAACCTTAATGATTTCTAACTTTTCTCACGACTATTCTTTTCGTGTGTTGAAAAATAGATTCTATCTTTTCGTTTATTGTTTTAGGTTCAGGCGCTCTCTGGCCCAAATGAATTCTCAGAATTTTACTCGCGCTTGAAGTCCATAAAGGAATTCTATCGACGACATCCCAACGAGATCAGCGTACCCATGTCCGTCGAATTCGAGGAGTTGGCCAAGATGAGAGAAAATCCAACCGAAGAGCTGTCCAATCTCGTCGAGTTTACGGACGAGGAGGGTTATGGCAAATACCTCGATCTTCACGAGTGCTATCAGAAATATATCAATCTTAAGGGGATAGAAAAGATAGACTATATAACCTACCTGTCGACCTTCGATCACTTATTCGACATTCCCAGAGAGAGGAAGAACGCGGAGTATCAGAGGTATGTCGAGTCCCTCTTAGGGTACCTGACAGATTATCTGAGCAGAGTGAGGCCTCTGCTCGACATGAGCGCGGAGGTCGAGGAAGCTAACAAAGACTTTCAAACTCAGTGGGAGAAGAATACTTTTCCCGGTTGGCCTAAGGAAACTGGAAGCGCCCTGACTCACGTTGGCGCGCACTTGGAACTATCTGCGTTCTCGTCGTGGGAGGAATTAGCGTCTCTTGGTTTAGACAGATTGAAGTCGGCTTTAATGGCGCTGGGACTCAAGTGCGGCGGTACCCTCGAGGAACGGGCGCAAAGACTTTTCAGCACGAAAGGCGAGGCCTCCTTAGATCCTAATCTACTGGCCAAGAATCGCAAGGGAAAGTCAGCCAAGGGCAAGGATTCCGAGAAGCAGAAGGAGATCGCACGATTCGAGGGTCATGTGTACAAGCTCTCCGAATTGGTGTCCAGTCAACGTGTCGCCACGAAGGAGAACGTTCAAAGGAAACAGGCGAGAACCGAGGGTGAAAGGGGAGACTCTGACGCGGAAGCAAGTGCAAGCGAATCGGAGGAGGAGGACGACAACGAGGTCCCGTACAATCCAAAGAATCTACCGTTGGGTTGGGACGGAAAGCCCATACCTTACTGGCTGTACAAGCTGCACGGTTTAAATATCAGTTACAACTGCGAGATTTGTGGAAACTTTACGTATAAGGGCCCGAAAGCATTCCAGAGACACTTTGCTGAATGGCGACACGCGCACGGCATGCGTTGCCTCGGCATTCCCAATACAGCGCATTTTGCTAACGTCACTCAGATCGAAGACGCTCTTGCTCTGTGGGAGAAACTGAAGGCGCAGAAACAAGCCGAACGTTGGCAGCCAGAGCAGGAAGAAGAATTCGAAGATTCGCTTGGTAATGTAGTCAATCGTAAAACGTACGAAGATCTCAAAAGACAAGGTCTGCTATAAAGTGTACTTCTGAGTCGAGTCTCTTATTGTAATCATTATCAGCTGTATCGCTAATTCTTTATAATTCTACTTATCCATTAAAGCATTTTTATCAATGAAATATTTTCTTATTCGAATTGTTTTGAAATTTATTGAATTATGTTAGTACCTTAAAATTTGAATTTTAAGCCAAAGAGCAATATTATTCACATGAATAGGCATACATGCACAGAAATAATTTATTTTAGACAATCATTTCTCGAATTACTTTTTGAATAAAAATATGATTTTTTTAAAATCCAAAATAATCTCAAATTTTTATAAAAGTGTACCTTTTGAAAAACAAATATGCAGACTTATTCAAATGTGATTTTTGAAATGAGATTCTTTCTTTTATAAAAAATACAATTTGTAGAAATTTCCATTTTTGCTTGTCACGTGCACGTATAATCAATCACAGTTTTGAACATAACTACATCTAATTTGTTTGCGTTTAAGATTATGAAATCTAGTTCCATTAGATAAATGGGGTTAGAAGTACATAATCTCTAATCCTTTATCCAAGCATTTTGGTTATATTTAATAAAAGCATACTTTTAAGCCCACGATTGTAGACAATATATAATTCGTATTAGAACTTAGGATGGAATACTATATTTAGATTTAGTTGCGATTTTTATGTGTGTGTATGTATGTGCGTGTATTTTGATATGTATTTTTTACATACGTGTAATTACATATTGTAATTCTTTAAAAGTTCTTATAATTTATTATAGAATATATATATAAATTAATATAAATAGATTCCGTTGCGAATTATAGATCGTCAAAAGTGGGCTGCCTGTGTAAAAAAAAGATGTTTGCTTAACCAATATATATTAAAAGCTTGAAAATTTACACATAATAATTATTTTCTAAGAACTGTTAATTTATACAAATTATTTTCCGCTAATTTTTTTATTATGCCATTAAAAAACACATTTCATTGAACTGACTAAATTTCGCCTATAATCAATCATCATTATAACTACCTCTATTTACCCTGTTAATACAAATCAACGTGGCCACATAAAAAAATTTTCCGAATTATGGTTTTTATTTTCCATTATTATAATAATTAAATTTATCAGAAATTAGATTTTAATTAAAATTATTCAAATAAAAGATATGGCTTTTCTAAAATTAAAATTAATATTTAAATTTTAATTAACGTGAAAATTGCTATCAATATGATCTTTCACAAGCAAGGTAAAAAAACCACAACTATGCCACAAAAAGCTATGCCACAATCTTTTCTTCTCTCCTTATTAATAACAAAAATCCAACAGTCGCAATTTCCTTACCTGCTTTTTTCTTGCTTCCATATATTTCTCGTTTTTAATAATAAAGATATGGTCTATGCATACATAGATATGGAATACTTAATAAATCTTATATTTGTTCCATTACTTTTTGCACCAAATAATTTTGCGATTAGCGAATATTACATTTGGAAGGGGGGGGAGGAAACATTTAATATACATAAAAGCACATTAATTGTGATCACACATCCATTTACTATTCCAAAAACACTTTGGTATCTGTCTCATTCTCTGGCCACGGCGCATAATACTGATGTGATCTGTCGTTAATTAGTCAGGCAGGAAGTACAATTGTTCCGGATTTTCTGTTTACACTGGACAATTAAGACTTTCATAAGGAACATGCATAGAATTAAATATTTTTAGGCATGTTTTGGATAACATTTTATCCCGGCACCAACAAGCTCCTCACATGGCGTTCGGAATAAACGGAATTTCAGACGACTATAGTTCTCCGGATATACCGGATATACAATCACAAAGGTCCTAGTACGCTAAATCGCGCGTATTCATATTTCACATATCATCGTTCATATTTCACAAGTAGAGCTCTCTGGATTGCGTCTCGCATCGTTATTCTTTATACACGATATTCGACTTCGAATATCGTCCATTCTAATTGCAAATTGGAAATGCAAAACGTTGTAACAGATTCTCAGTCTACAATTATTCAGTTAAAATTTTGTCGTTCTAATCGACAATTTGGTACCTCTCAATTTACGTTCCGTTGATTAAAAATTTCTTATCGATATGTGTCTAAGTATTCAACACAAAATGTACATCTCGTTTCTCTACGTCAGTTTTTTTCAATGCAAACTTCGCTACGGAATTAATGAACTATTAAATTATTAATTATTGATTATTAAAATTAGTTCCTAAGTTCATACTGTTAAATCTCTTGGCAAACTGAATTTGCGAATACTGATTTGTATAGAGGAAAGTTCTACGGAAAGGTTTTATGAGATCCCGCTCAAAAATATCACGATCATGCTGTTATCATTATATATCGTAGAAATATGTCTAATCTTAAAAGTTATTTCTTTAATTTAATCAATAAATTATTGGGTAAAATATATACGAAAGCTAAAAGATTTCCATAATCAGCTGATCACCAGAGTGCCAAAAGTATACGCGCACAAGCGTATACGCCTCGTACCGCACTTTAAGAATACTTCCAAGTCAATTTCTCAATTTGTTTCTAATAATCAATTTAGTTGCCTTCACTCTTCCACATTAATGCACACTGTAAAGGATGCTATATACTTGAGATATAAGTGCAACAGCAGAATACAAGCATTTTAACCCTGATGAAATAGCCAATATATATTCGGCTAAATAATACAATGATATATTGGATATTTTATCGGCAAAATACACTCATGTTATGTTTTTGCATTTACGAACACACGCAAGTGTCTGCTCACTACCGTCTCTGAAAAAAATTTTTATACGTATAATTGAATTTGTCTTTAAATAAGTTTAAATTTTGTCATAAAAATGTTTTAAATTCTCAAAAACGATAGACGGCGGGATATTTTGAAAGATGTAACATTTTGAAAACGTTTAAATACATCTTTAAAAAATGCCTCTGAAATCACAAAACTTTGTTTAAAATATTTTTCACTTACCGCGTCAACAATATACGCTTAGAAACGTAAAAGTCGATCTCTTTCTAGGGGGATGTTTCATTCCCATAACGTGCGTAAGAGCACCTATAAGAGAATACATGTTTCCCATATGCATTTTGATCTATATTATCACTATTATATTTTCGTATGTTTCTTTGTTGGATCACGCGCCTTTAGTGCACATCAGTGTGGAGTAGTCAAGCGACCGAATTCGCTATAAGGCCCGTTCGCTTTGCATGCATATATGCGCTTTGTATTGTAGCCAATAAAATGGATTTTCGCTTTATATGCCTCGAAAATGCTTCGGATACGCTCGTTAAAGCGACGCCAATCGGCGCCGCTGAACGAGGAGGGACGGATGTCTTGCGATAGTTACTTTAGCTTATAGCTCCTGGCTCATTATCGCAGCCATATTGGATTATGACATCAGACGCGAGAGATCGCACGCTTATGATATGAAATCACACTGTACATCACATTCATAGACAGCTATTTATTCTCGCACAATGTACATTGGAATAAATTAGTCTTTTTACACGTGCTCAATAAAATAAGCTTAGATGTGCCGCGGATTCTCTTTTCAATTCATAGAATAGATAGTTGTAAATCCTAATCATAATGATGAAACCTATTTTTGTGAAAACAGGATAATATTTTACAGTTAACACAGAATACGAATAAATTTAATTACATAATCATTTATTAATTCTCGCCTGACGAATACGCGCTTCGTCTCTGTTGAACTCGTCAACTCGTCTTTCTCCTGACTCCTGTAAAGATTACATTCCGTAATATTTAAATACAAGGGAACGATAAAATAAACATTTCTAACTCTTTAACTTCAACAGAGACTGAACTAAATAAAATCAGTATCCGCCAGACGAGAGTTTATGAAGAAGGATCAAGAAGAGAATTTTATGCATATTTTTTTTTCCCTATTTTATCGAATGAGAGTGGAGCATTTGAGAAAAAAAACTAATTTATTTCGGTGAATTGTGCAAGAGAGAGAGAAAGAGAGAGTTATATAATTTTTGCTTTAGATATCATAATTCAATATAGCTAACAGTCAAAACCAGAAGTCTTACATATTTAGCGGTATTCTCCGAAATGCGACAATACAGTGTCAACGAAGCGTCCTCGATAAAGGAATATCGAAGGAAGAGGAAGAGACTTAGGCACGATAGGTCGTACGTTGTCGGAGTTGCGGGAGATGCAGTGTCTGGAGAGGTGTGTGTCTCCTCGTCGCTTTATTCGACGCTGTCCACGACCGCGCTGTCGTCCAAAGTGTGAAGCCAATTGAAGATCATCATGTTTCTCTCATACTTGGACAGCTGATTTCCGCGTTCCCTCTCGACGTCCCGTACTGTCAGCGCGTGATTTCGCTCCTTCCGCCCGATCAAGGAAGCACCAGGAACTCCGGCGGCCGTTCCGGGCACCAGCAAAGTGGTCCCGTGAGAGCTCTGCGCCGCGGTAGCCGCCGCTTCTAGCTGGTCTAGATTAAACTCACTCTGCGAGAGGCGCTCCAAAGCGCGGTACGTGGTCAGCAGCCTAATGGAACATGAATGAGACATTCTATTCCTGCCTATTTTATGAAACCTGAAACGGCGTAACTTGAAACCCGCTTCAAGTTCACAAATTACAGAGAAACGTACACAAGTGTTCCGCTCCAATTTTGATGATGAAATTTGAGATAAAAGTTGTATTTTTCAAAGAGACATTTCTTTCCCGCGCCCCTAAGAACACTTATAAAGAGAAACCATAAAGTACGAGTATATCTAAAACTCATCAAAATCGGAGAAAGACATTTACGTGTATTTCCTTTTTGGACACAGCCAAATATAATTTGATAAGAATGATAGGTATATAGCTTAGTTCAGACAAAAGAAACGAAATTTGTTAAATTTACATTTTATGCAGCTAACAGAAGACACAAGCGTTCCATTTCTTTTCTTTTTTCTTTTTCGTTCCAAAAAATCATATCAAAAAAGATGTATTTTAAATCACGAAAAAATTTCTCATCGACTACCAACCTTCGTTGTATGTAGTTCTGTCGTACTTTCTTATTGACGGACCTGACGAGATCCGCTCCGGTGAAGGGCACGGGCGGTGGCGGCGGTGCCGGTGGCTGCGGTGGTAGTTGCGGCACCGATTGAGCATTCGCGGAGGATTGCTGCTGCGTTTGGAGCTGCTGCGACTGCGACGGTTGCGGCTGTTGCTGCGGTTGCTGCTCCTGCGCGGTTCCGCCGTGCGGGCTGGGAAGCTGGGACGTGCTGGCCACGGGCTCGCCCACGGCGACCCAGGTGCTGCAGGACCTCGAGGCATGGTCGAGCCTGGCGTGCTCCAGCAACAGGTTGTTGCGCTGGGCAGTGTCGAGCGCTAGAGCGGACACCGCCGTTCGTAGGCCACCGGCTCCGGCCGCGTCCGGGCTGGGAAGCTGCGACACGTCGCTCGTGCTAAAGCTCTTACGCAGCCCCAATGCCGACGAGAGTACGCCGCAGCTGCGAATCAGTTCATTGCATCTGCGAATCAGTTCGTTCTCTTCCTCGAACCATAAAATCTCGGGAATGTCCGCCGGCCTAAATGCATACATATAACAAATAAGGGTAAATCAATTATGCGACAGCCGTGTATCTCTTCGTCATGCATGACAGCGATTGTAATACGAACCTGTTACCCTGAATCTGCCGGGAGTCCGGTTTCGGTGAGGGTCCCCGTCCGGTGAGTTGCGCGTCGCTGTAGGACTTGAAAGTGACCAACCTGTTGGCGCTGCGCAGATCGCTCGCGATCGACGACACGCTGAAGAGCGACAGGTCGGTGGTTACGCTCTCGTGACTCGGTGAGCGCAGCATCCGCGAGGTGACCTGCAGAGCCGGGCATTGTGTGGTCGTCAGACCACCACCGCCACCGCCGCCGCCGCCACCACCACCGCCGCCTCCGCCACCGTCACCGCCGCCGTCGCAACATTGCGCGCACATAACCGTTGGTATCGGCGAAGCCGATTTGATTTCGTTTTCGGACATTTTGCACTCAATATCCGTTCCTTTATCTACTTATCTTCCTTTTCGTCGGCGCTTCGACCGTCCCAATTTCTCTCGCGATAGCTTCAGCCAGCTTATGTCATGCCAAACGTCCGACGTTTCTTCTCCGTTTCCAGAGTACAGCAAACTGCATGTAATACACAGAGGACAGCTTAGAAATAGAGATGTAGCAAAACCAGGATAAGAAAGACTTAATTTTTAAACAGAAATCTTTACAAGAAGCACTTAAGATTCTATTATGGCGTCCATGTTTGATTACAACGTTGGAAGGAAGAAATTTTATCAAATCGTTTTCTGATATTATATACAAATGAAAACAGTGACTCTTTTCATATATGTATAATAGAAAGATAGATTCAATACATTGAAGATTTCCTTTTTACTTTATCAATTCACGAGCTAAAAAGGAAATTATTGTATAATTTATTTCATCAATTAGATGTAACATTTGCGACAAAACTTCTATTCTACTATTTCGATATAGATACGTTATAAATAATACAAATTACAACTTCTCGCTCCCACGTCATAATTTTATATGCAGTGACCAGACAGAGGTATCATCTACAAATATATACCTAGTTTTTGTCGCACGCCAGTGTACTATTATTGTAGCTTTATTTTATGAAATATGTAGTATAAAAGTAAGTATTTATAGCCCGAAAAGATAATTATGGTGAGACTGTAATGTTAATAGATATTATGGATTACATATGATACCACATTTTGCCGATTAATATATGCAGAGAACCTGGAGAAACTATTATCTAATCGCTAGCCCTTGATCTAATCTGTAGAGCTGGAATGTGCAAGTAAGGTGCTAAACGCCTTACTTGCAACACCGTCACCACGTGGGCGTGGTGAAGTATAGGTACATCGTTTCGTGATGTATACACGCCTATGATATGTACGATACAAGAAAGCGAAAGCTCATGTACTGTTATAAGCAATTTTTTCAGGATATGACTATAACAAAAGGATGTAATCTAATAAAAGTATCCAAATATATAAATTTTTTTTTAATATCGATTTTTTTTAAATAAAATATGAAATATGTATACACAGAGATTTTCAAACACAATCGATTGCAAACCGCAAAACTTTATTCTTTCTGCGAATTATACTTTTAACGCGCATATAATTGAAGTATAATTAAATTTATTTACTATTGTACATAAAATCAAATAGACTTGATTTTTCTTGAAAAATGATATTCGAGTTGTAATTATTAAAATATTTCATGTCTAATACTGGCGAAAGTGCAATAAAAAAAAACGATTTTTTTCCTCGGAATTTTTGTAAGGGACAATTATATAAAGACATATTTTTTTAAACAGTCTGTCGTTAAAATTAATTTTCCATATAACAAGCACATTCAGAAAGTTCTAAAAATTTCCAACACTTTCCCACTTCCCCCTATCACCTTTCTCTCCCTCCCTCTCTGCCTATCTATTTCTATCGCTATCTCAGAATCGATTAACTATAATCTGAGAGTTAACTTTTTTTTCATTCTCCTTTCTATATTGTGGGAAAGAACAATTTCGAAGCCGCAGCTAAGGTGAAACATCGTTGCAACTGATGTATGGACATCAACATAGCTATGTAATCGATAATTATGTATTCTCTGAAGTCAAGGTTCAAGAACTTTTACCTAAGATTGATATTTCGATCTGCGCCTTCATCAGCCAGATATCGACTTTCTCGGCCACTTAGTGTACCCGGTCATACGTGTCACCCGGCGCAAATCGAATAAATTATCATATGTTTTTCTAATCGGCAAATCTCTCTCTAATATCAACTTTGATTAAAGATGCTTAGAAAGTTAGCGCAGCCTTTGATGCATATTTGAAACGTCCTAATTTAACGTCATATAGAGAAATACTATATTAACAAGAATAATATATAAAGGAATAGTAGAACAGTTTATGGCAGAATTAAATAATTAAAAATATTTAATGTTCTTTGCTTTTTTCAAATGAAGAAATGTCATATTTTTAACAGACACGAAAATCATATTATAGAAAAATTTTCATTCTGATTGTTTGAACTGTTCATATTCCAGTATTTAAATGTCTTTCCATTAAATTACTTTCTATAAAATTATTCACTTGTCATTGAATGTAAAAAGATATTAGAAACGAAATTTATATTCTTGAATTTTTTTTCGATATTACGATTTGATTATTTCACGCTTTTTAAAACTCCATTTTTATTTTACAGTTAATTTTCCCATTGTACCATTTTTCTGCAAATTTATCCTCATTAATAGAAATATGCGAGTAATTATACTCTACTTGACTTGCCTCCGCAGTGGTATCCTGTACACTAGACATAATCATAAACTAACTGTTATGGTAGAGCAACTACGCGTTACGAGCTGCGCTAATTAAATGAGACTACAGACAATAAGTGCGTTCAGCCGATTTATATCAACTGCGTTAGAGTCGTGCCTCCTTTTCGGAGCTGATTTTCATCGCGATTATTAAAGCGTCGGCTGTGCAAGCTCGTCGGCTTGGATGGGAGACCCCCGATAACGGCAAGTGAAGAACCGGCGCAGTTCTATAAATACGCACGAATATTCAACACTCTCGGCGCACCTAATGTATCTCGCACTGTCAGCCACATGACGACGCGTTTCGCCGCGCCGAGGATGCCGCCGTCGCGAACGGCGTGTCTGTCAAGCCAGCCGGCTGCGTGGCTGCAGCGGAGTCAGGAGGAGAAGGCCCCTTCAACGGCCCCGGGAACGCGAGGAAGATGCGGCGATACGTGCCACACGGAATCGCCGGCGGGAGCACGTGAAAGGGAACAACAACCACTGTCAACACTCGCCCCGTTCTCGCGCGCGTCGCGAGCGCGTCGAGCTAACGTCAAAGAGACGACGCGATTGTTTCCCCTGGGCTCTACGGTCGTCGATCGTAGCTCGGGCTCGCTCACTGCACAGGCGTCGCTATCGATCGATAGCTGGCTGCTCTCCTCTAGTTTCGCCGCACCCCACGCGATTCGGACCTCTCTCGCTAACCGAGCTAACGGCCGATCCGCATCCCTTCTAATTCATCCCTTATCAGAGCAGCGTGGGACGCGGACCGGGCCTAGGGGCCCTGAGCCACTTGATGGCGACGATTTGTAACGATTATCCCCTCATTTGCAAGGGAAATCCGTTGATCTCTTTTAAGTATATATAATAAAATGTAAACTAATAATTTTGCTTTTATTTTCTGACGCTTTAATCACAATTATTCAGACTATTATAGGAGTACCGACTGATTTAGAATAAGACAAATATAAGTATTTCATAGAAAACAATTAATCATTTATAATACACAAATAATTTAATTTATATTATATGTTTTTAACTACAATTTTAAATAGCACTTATCATGGAAATACTATGTGAAATATTTTAATGTAGAATATACAGTATAGTTTACACATGCATTATTGGAGTTGTATTAATTTTATTTATACTTTCGAATAAATATTTTTATATTATGACATTAATTTAATAATGTTATCATTTCTTCCTCCTTAATTCCCTTCTCTTTATCAGGCAATCAGCAGTGTTTGATGTGAGGTCGATTGAAAATGGTGACCCAAACTTTCACTCTCCATATTAGAACGTTCGCAACAGATGATAATCATTATCATTTGTATCCATATACAAATTTTCCGATTAGCTTATATTAAAAATGCGAAAGATCTCCCTTTCCGATCCAAGTGCTTTGTCGAGAATGATCACGACCAAGTTCGTGCAGACGAAAGCGGACATGAACGGCCAGTTGGTCAAACTTAGAGTGGGTGGGCGGTAGACGCGGCGAGGAGACAGGAGAGATGAGAGCTAAATAGAGCCAAAGAGACGAGATGACGCGATTAGCACATATAGCGACCGCAGGCCATGGCGTAGTTCAGGCCCTCGGTCTTTCTTAGTTGGCGACGGTGTCTCTCGCGAGGAGGATTCGCCGCACCGAATCCAACAATATACTCGGCGATTAGTCGGTTAAGATATTCTTACGTCCTCACGAAAAACGGTAAGTAAGTTTCTATCGCGATTCTTGTTCGCCATTCTTTTCAGCTTGTTGTGGTTGTAAAATGGAACAGGGCGTTTCCAATTTCGTCAAATAAATATAATAAGCATTTAAAAAAGTATTACGTGAGATACTCTAAGCTGCAGTTTATTTCGCTTATGTGGAATTCCGTCCTCATTATCGTTGCATGGCTTTTAAAACGTTTAACCGCTTAATTAGAGAATCCGTTTAATTAATGAATCCGCCATTGAAAGGAAAGGCTCGCTTGACCCTACGTACTCTCTAAAATAAAGGCACTTAAGATAATAGCATTACTGCACATCTTGTACCAATGTACCAATATATTGGAAATAATATCTATATTCTCACAATGGAGAATTTATTGTTCCACTTTGAACAATTCTATTTCCAGCCTTTTAATGAAAATACCATTTCCATTAATTGTTTAAAATCTAACAAAATTAAAAATGGAAAGCTTTACATACATTATGTATATATGTGTGTGTGTGTGTGTGTGTGTGTGTATGTGTGTGTGTGTATATTTATATTTATATACATACTATATACATTTATAACAAAGCTTCTGTAATTCGGACTGATACAATAAAATAATTCGCTCAGAAAGAATTTTAAACGTTAAATTTTTGGTTTTAAGTTTTAAAATTTACAAAAGCAAAATGTCAAAAATTATTTATTAATTGTATTATTTTTTTAATTGCAATTTGATATTTTGCAAAATAATTTGTATTACTATTTAAATGCGATTGTTTTCCAATTGTTTTTAAGATTGAAAATGGCTTTCTTGTGGCTCTCTAATTACATGCGCCTACGCTAGAAGATCCAATATATACGCGTATATATATAAACGTTTGAACATGAAGTTTATAAATACCTGCGTTTTTTTTTTTTTACCAGCGACGCGACGATGGCAAACTCCTCAGAGGGAGACACCGTCAAGCCGACGAACACGAACAAATCAACGACTGGAATCAACATTCTCGCACCCAAGGAGGGTGCGAGAAAACGACGACGCTTAGAATCTCTGACAACGAACTCGGAGATCCCTGAGAAAACGCAGCGACGCGACGAGTCGTGCAATTCCTATGCGTAAGAATATTTCGTGATCAAATCGAATATCGTATGTAATAAATATCTACAATCAAAATTAAAAACTGCGTCAACGATATAGCTAAACAAATATATTTATTATAAAAGTTTAAATTATGCAAAAAATAGAATTGTTATGCGAGTATTTTCATAATTTCTTAACGAGTCTCAGCGATAAAAATATTCTTTTAATTTAAAAAATGTTTAGAAAAGATAATTTGAACTGTAAGTTAAAAATACACTTGTATGTTTTATTGTAAATATTGAAAGCAAAATGTCGGCAATTATTATAATTATTGCTATAGTAATGTCCTGCATTTAGCTGGAATTTATGATTCGCGTCTAAAAAAAATATGAGTTTGATTCAATCAATCAGAGATTATTTGAAATTAAATACGTATTATAACGCATGATGCAATTTCTTACTTTTCACTCTCAGTGAGGCAATCAGCAAAAGGAAAGTTGAGCATATAGAAGACAAAAAGGACTCGTCATTACCACGTCTAAGAAAGAAAGATCAGGCTGTGCCAATAAATCCGCAAGATGCTAGAATGTCACAATCTTGCGAAACTGGCATGGGAAGAAATGACGCGACTAGATTGAGGAAAACGATACAATGGCTCGAGGAAGGAGCGCGAAGGCTACGCGAGGACCTGGCGAACGCGCGAACAGAGCTACATGAAGAGCGAAGGGCAGCAAAAATTGCCAAGAGGGAGTTCGAAACTGCCCTCAGAGAGGCCAAATTTGCTGAGGCTGCCAAGTATCAACCGATCATAGCCGAATTGAAGACTAGGTAAAATTCTTACAAACGTAAAGCTAAGTTCTAAGTTTTCAATTTTCCATTTCTCACGATATAGTTATTTCAATTCTCAAGCCTTAGTTGACAAATGATCAATTTGTAATTCACGAGATTTGAATCCCGAAGACTATATTCAATTGGCGCGGTATTAGAAAAAATACTGAAGATGATATTTTCTTTCAGGATCGTCCAATCTGCGTCGCCATCGCCGTCGCCGTCGCCGTCATTCAAATCGGATCCCGTGAAAGACGAGAGTCACAAGCGTGAATTGTCAACCCTCAGAAAACGTTTAATTGACGCTGAGGGCACGATACGAAAACTCGAACAATTGGTAAAATCGCAAGCGAACACTACTCGCAATATCAATGGTACTTCTTCCTGCGGCGATGCGCGTCGTCTGGAAGCGGAAATGCGAAATCTACGCACAGAAAACGAGAAACTCGAAGATAAATTACGTGTAAGAGCAAATCTCCCCTTAAATCTTTTAAAGCTTAAACTTTGGAGAGACGTCTAAATTTAAATTTAAAAAGTTAACTTTAACGGTAGATATGGATCACCTTAATAATAAGTATAGAAATGTCTGCGAAATTTCCGGTTTTTATTTGAACAAATATTTGACGTTCTTTTTTGATCTACTAAGAATTTAATCGGCTGAATTTTCTTTAATTTACAACTTTCAAGCAAATGTCTTTTTCGAAACGCTTCGTCTGATTTATTGATTTATTACGTTCATGATAAGTTTTCGCTTGTAAGAGATATTTTTATATTTAGATCGCTCTAAATGCCGAGAAAACTCGCATCGCTGAGATACGAGCTCAACGGGAGAATCACGAAGCTGAACTTTCCGCATTGCGAAAATCACTTCGCAGCGAAGCTATAAAAATGGTAAGCGCACAGTTTAAGATATCGGAAGTATCAACAGCACCGTCATTAAACGGCTTAATGGCTCTTAATAATTATACGGGCCGTGTTACGTTGCTCGGAGCAAGAATGCCGAGTCGTATATATCGAGGGCGATTCACCACTCGGGCACATAAAAATATCCGCCTTCACGAATGCGAAAGCGCTAGCGTCAGGCACGAGACTCTTGCGAAGATGCTTATTAAAAAATTATGCCCCGCGGTATTGGTCTGCACTAACTAGAAAAGAGTCTGTCCAGGATGCATCAGTGCGGTCTGACGGTATACTCGGACAAAAGTTTTACCGACACGGCCGAAACGGTTTGCCATAGCATCGACGAGAAAGAATGCCCCTCGCTGTGCGATTACCCAAAATGATCACGAGTTTCCCACGCTATTCTTGGGCCCCGGAATTTCGATGTGATTCAACAATTTGCAAATTGCAGGGCAAATTGTACGTGCAGCAACGAAATACGGAAAATTACGCGTCATCTCGAAATATTGGTTCAAGCAATGCGATTTTTAAATTTAATCCTTTCGGTGCTGATATGAATATGTTAATAATCACTTGTCCAGTCGCTATACAGAAATTGTGAATTTTTGCGAAAATGAATTCTTTTGTATTTTTTTTCTTTTTTTTATTCTGTTATCTCAAATACATCAAAATATAAAAGAATATTTTTGGTAATGATTCGTTTCTTTTTCGAATCGCAAAGGATGAGGATTTCTCTTCTTGCAATGCTTTCCAAGTTGTCAATGCAATTTTATTTTGCATTTAGCTTTATTTGTAAATTAATGCATCGATTGTATATGAAAACTCGCTTCCGCCAATTTATTCTAAGCCATATATCTAATTTCTGCCGGTACCGCGTCCAAATCCGCATCGGAGACGCTATATTTAATTCCAAGATGTTTATTCGCGCATTCGTCGGCTCGCCGTGTAGCTTGGGCAGGCACTTCCCGCTTCCTAGCATGCCACATTGCGGTCGAAATCGTGCAAGTTGCCTACCGCATTGCCGGCGCGCACCGGACTAATACGATCGCGACCCGATTCTTGGCGAGCAGCCAAATATCGGAGATAACGAAAAGAGACTCATGAGTCGCTTTTAGCATGTGGAGCGACCAAAAATGAAGCAAGCAAAAATGAAGAGTTGTGAATCTCGTTTACTGAATGAAAGCCTAACTCAAACGCCATGTAGATTCGCGGAGAAAATCTTGCTGATCGTATTTAAATGGTGCAGTTATTATAAGAAAATAGAATAATTTAAATTAAATTAGATTTAAAAATATTAATGCAATATATCGATTGCAATGTAAAATAAAAGTCATTTTTGCCTATTTTAACCAACCTAAAAATAGCCACAATTGTAGCTACTATTGAGGCGAAAATGCCAATAGAGGTATTATCAGCCGGCGCTCGTTTAACGCGTGCAGCCGTCACGTTCAGATCGTAATCCGATCACGGTAATCATTGATTTAAAACTTCCGGTTGCCAGATGATTCATCATTCTCAGAAATCGTACCGGTATATCGCGCGACCGGAACAAAATGCGCTTGTACGTGCAAACGAGCCGGTGAATGCTTAGGGATATCGACGGCGGCGGATAACGCGCGCGCGGCGTTTCTCTCATCCCACACCTGTACAGACAAGGTGAAGGCAAAAAGGCCCCCGGGGCCTGACAAGCCTGACTGAGCGCGATGGGACGAGGTGAGAGCTCGAAAGCGGTACGAAAGGGACCGATCGCTTGCCCCTCCCCTTCGTCATCGCCGTGTATCCCATTCTTCGTTGCGATCGCCGGCGATGTTAATTTTTCTCATTGCAACTTTCGCCACACGTGTCCACGCGCGAGAGATCCGCCGCATTCAAACGAGTTTCGCGGATTTTTGCAGATGGATGAGTTGCGTGGCAAGAGCCGAGAGATTGAGAAGCTGTCGAAGCTCTTGAAACGACGAAAGTTGGCGCCGGCGGAGCAGGAGATGGTGAGTATAACTTGCATTTACCAACGCGTGTTTCCGCTTCCGCGAGAAATGTCGCGGATACGTGGAATACGATAAAAAAAAACCACGTTCCGTAATGTCGTACAGGGTATTCAATAATAGCTGCTTAGATAAATCGTGCGCGCGATTTCATTTTTGTTGAAATTAAATTTTTTATTTAAAATAATTGTGATAAATGCACATTATATTTTTTTTCAAGTTTTCAAAACGTCAACATTACATATCATGATAAGTGAATTTCAAAATAAAAATTCTACCTATTTATTTGAATTGATAATATTTTGTAAAGTTAAATAATAAAATTTTGTGTGTGTGTGCATTTATAAATTTGTATCTCTAAAATTTGCCAGTCTTTTATTGCTCAATTTATTTTTCACTGCTAACATTATATCGCAATACTGTTATAAAAAAATACTTCAATTTTTTTCCAATTGCTTGTAATTAGTCTGCTTTCAACATTAAGTTCTCCATATTGTAAAAAAAAAATCAATTCCAATTTCGTTGCAAAGATGAAACATAGCCTACGATATTTTATACATCACATCCATTTATTCATAAAAATTCTCCAATGATTCTACTGCTCGAAACTATTTGGGCCATTCAAAAGAACTAGAAGAAACATTATAAATTAAGATATCCTTCTAATTTAAATATTGCCGCTTCGAATATTGATATTTAAACGATATGTTTACAGCATAGAGCTACAGTTGTTTTTTTAATTGATCGTCTATCACGAACGAAATGAATATCATCAGTCGCTTTTGTCTCATTCTTGCCAAGGTATCTCGCTCGGAATTCTTCCTTATTCCATTCATTCTCAGATACACGCGACGGCAAAGAACCGTCGTGTGAACAGTCCAACGGTTCACCCTGAGGACCGTACCGGTGCACGCGATTATCATATCGTGTGACTTCCGATGTAAGTTTATACAGCGTCAAGTTCCTAGAAGTCTTCGGCACGGACACTCGGTTCGTTCAGAGTTGAAATCAACGCCTTACACACTCGATCTCTTGCCATCTGTCCTAGTATAACAGTATACTCGTGCTAAAAATGATTTTTAAAGAATACCTTCTCGCAAATCGGAAGCATTCGCGTTTCTCTATCACTTCTTTTCTTTGTCAGTCGCTGTTCCGGGAAGCTACAGAGAAGTAGACTAATGACTAAAAAAAAAGTCATTAGTTGTTGGAATTACGTCATTGTTAAACGCAAAGCTGTAGGTAGGCTTGCCGATGCGTGGAAGGTTAATGAACCATTATGTGAAGCGATACTAAAGTGCGCTTAAAACGATACCGCGCTGCTTGAGGCGCCTTAGATATTTGGACGTGCTCCAAGAGATGCGCTGACAACGTTATACAGTCGCCACTTTTCGGACAGCGGTCTTTACTTTCGTCGAAGCGTTTAACGATTCAACGAAGCCATTACAAATCGCTGAATCCGATGGATATTTCGTATATCTTGATGGTTCGCTTTTAGCCGAGGGTATATACACACAGATATCGTAATATCCGCCGGGTCAACGTACCGGGTCAAGACGACGACGTCGCAAGACGATCCGCGGTGGTCCGCCGCGCGCGCATTGTGCATTATACGCGTCTTCGTCATCTTAAAGGAACTTAAAGGCCATGCGAGCGAGCGGTCGCCGCTAAAAGGTTGTGTAGTTATGCGCCGCACAATATAATTGACACCCTTTCCCGTCTTATCGCCGCTTAATCGAGCTAGCTAACGGTAGCGCGGGATCTACAGAGTAAAAGCCGTAAAAGCGACAAAAAAAAAGCCACGTCTTTTCTTTGGCAACGGTTTCGTGAACTCTGATCTAAAAAAGAAGAAATGGAAACACGAGAAACGTTTCACCTATCTCGAATCTTCTCGGTTTCCAGTCTCGATCCTGTTATACCTAATACTCTCTCCAAACACTCTCCTTCTCCCAAAAGAAACACGCAATCTAACAACCCTTATTGGGACACCCGTTTAAACGTTATTTCTTTTAACATGAAAAACAATAACAGAAGCTATTGATAATAAAAATTCTTTCCTCCTTGTCCCAAGAGACAACATGCTCTCTCAATTAAACGCTGAATTAGCGAATTTGTCAAAGTCACACATGATTCTAACACGAAGATAACACATGGGAGGGTACGCGAGCGCATTGTCTCGCGTCACACCCTTTGACGAGGAACGAGGAAGGGCAGGAGGGGAGGGGAAGGGAGGGGAGAGGGAGCAGTTATGATCCTAATCTCACGTTTCATTGTGTCTCGGGCTTAAGTTCCTGCCAGGTCAGCAAACCGTAGATACGCCTGTAGCTTTCCGAATGGAATGGAAGAGAGGAACGGGTCCGCGCTCGCAACACGGCTCCGCGCACAGGTAGCGTAGAAGGCCCCCGCGATTATCGGAGGTGCCTTCAGTCTGGTCTAGACGTCGGCCGTGCGCGCACCGTTCTTCCGACGTGTCCGCGCCACTTGTCGTTCCCTCCCCCTCCCCTGTGCGTGCGTGCGTGCCCCGGGTGTGACGCACGTTCGAGGGATTCTTCGCAGGATCTCCGGTGTATCGTTTATATATTACCAGGTATACCCGGCGTATACCCGACGTCCCGATACTTCCCCCCCGTTTCACGCCCGTTATATGAATTCTCAACATCAACGTGCGCTTCATGGGGTTCGCGTGGAACGAGGTAAGGATTACGATCTGTTTCTTCCTTGTCTCCTCCGTTTTACACGCGATTATCCGTTCCGCGGTGTCCGTTAGAGTCGACGCGGTGCTTGACATCGCGCGCTTCCTTCAAGTGACCTCGTCGTTTACGAGGTGATTTTAGATTTTGCACTTTAAAGAAACTATCACTTGAATGAGAAAGGTAAGGGAGAAGAGATTGGCAATTATAACGTTGATTTATAGATTTTACATCTCAAAGTGTCACGCGTGAAAAGTAGAGAGTGTCACCAGAAAGGTAAGGGAGAGAGACTAGCAGTTGTAATTTTTAACCTTTGCGCTACTATGGTGGCTTTCACCTATACGTTCATCATACATACGAGAAATCACCATAGTGAAAATTTCCACTGCATATATGTATTACAATGTGACATTACAATGATTCATCGTTCAGACATGTTATGAAAGAGCGCTTCGTTAGGAGCACATCGTTAAAGAAGAAACTTTCAGTGATGTTTTTTTATCGATTTTTCAGTAAATTCTACTAATGTGTTGATTGACGATGCGATAAAATTATATATTTTAATTCTATACATGAGAATAGTTTTCTACGAGTATAATTTGTTACGTCGTATAACGATAATGCTTTCCATTCGGTTTCATCGTCACGAAAGTTGATCGCTGCGTGAGATGTTAAAAAATATTTAGCAATAACAAGACGGCGAACTGCACGATAAGAGTATTATTTTTTTTTACTCGTTTTGAAGAATATTAATTACAAATCGCTGAATTAAATCTACCGAAAATCACCAAATTTTTATCTAAAAAAGGTTGCAAATGAAACGGAATAAGAAGGTATATCGGTCAAAATAACAGATGCAATCCTCCTCGTAAAATAATAAAAACTAAAGTAACGTAAATAAAAAATAAAGTAAAATAAAATTAGATTCTATTACCTGTAAGCGCGCAATTCAAAATTAAAACAAAATCGCGAATATTGGCACCTCTCAGGGATTCCTATACAAATGTTTACACTATTCTGCGTGAGCAATTGACTGTGACAATGCTCGCACTCATCGAGATTGAATATTTTCACGCGCCTACTCCAGTTTCACCGGCGCCTTCTCTTGTCCCTGAGTAGAAACGCGAATAGAACGCGGAGCCGATCGCGTTCCCAGGGAAATCGACATAAGTTGCGTGTCGTCGACGTACCGTGGGAACGATCTCGCGATGCGGGTCGCGACGCGAGAGGAAAAATAAAATAGCAGAAAAACACGAATGTGCCGTATGACTGTAACAATGGTTCCCGTAATTGAATTATTTTGCAAAGTCATTTTGCGGAATAGAGAGTGGATCCAGTTAGACATATGCACAGTTGTGAATCGCGGCACGCTTCTGGTAATGCCTAATGATTCCGTAAGAGGCAATTAGCTGGAAGTAGGAATCCTCGTAGGAGGCATTAGTTTTCGACTAATTGGCAGTCGTTACGAGGTTAATGCAAGAACTGTTGCACGGACTACCGACAATGTGCTCGTTGTTGCTTTGGAAGATTAACTGAAATAAAAAGATTTTTAATATGTTCACGAATAAATTTAGAACAATGTACGCGCGTAAATATATAAATGTGCCAGTCTCACAATGTGATACATCATAATGTATTCTGCACGAGAGATTAATATAGCTGTGCCAACCGTTAATCCTGTCGTTTTGAAGAGCCACAATAGTAGCTTTCATCATGTACGAGGAATTATAGTCATTGCGTGTATAAACGCGTTGCAATAACTTATCATCGAATCACTTGGGGATAATTTGTAATTTATATAAATATATTGATTTAATCTCTGAATTAATAACGTATACGTTTCAATAGTGTTCTTCTATTTCTGTGGAAAAGAAAAGAGCACCCTTAAATTAGAATAGCATTTTGCTGCGTCGTTATATACAGTAGCTTCACTTTTAACTCGTTAGTTCCATAGATTTCTCAAAGATTAAGATCGAACAATCGGAGTGAGAAACGTTTGCGATTTTGCAAGAAACGGACGAAGATAATCGGGATGGCTAACAGGCGAGACCGTATTATAGTATTTTCGTAGCGAATTTCGCAAATCCGTTGAAACGTGTCCGCGCGCTCGCACGCCCGTATATAACATCCAATGCGGATGCCCGCCGTGTCCCGATGCCGCGTGTAGGCACGAGCGGACACGTAAGTATGCCTTAAGCACTTAACTATCTACCATTGTCCTCCTTTGAGGCGGCGCGCCGGGATGAATTTCAATGACTCCGCGACGCGTATAAAAGAAGCGCGAGAGTCTCGCGAGAGAGAGAAAGGCGGCAGCGATCCGTCGCCGATACCGGCTCCAAACGGAGCTGTTATTTCACCGGATGCGCTTCCTCGCCTCGTCTCAATTGCAAGTGGAACGACCCGCGCGCGCGCGCCCGCTCATCGCGCGCGTTCTCCCTTCGATTCTATCTTGAGCCTTCTAAAAGATCAGCCGAGATGAAACACTCTCGGAACGAAGAACGGCGACGCGGCGCCGGTAGGCAAGTAAGTACCTTCTCGACAACTAACGATACCGCGCCACTCTCGGTGAGCTACTTCGCAGAAGAAAGTTCCCAATCCCCCTTTTGCCCTCTCCCCCGCGCCGCCCCGCGGCAACCGCAGAGATACGAGCGCGCGGGTCGTGATACATCGGTGCATGAGAGCGCACATATATTAGCGCGCAATCGAGCCCGCGGTCACGTTACCGGATCGGATCACCTCAAGGATCGCCGTCGCGGTTTCTCTATGTATGCCTACTTTAACAACACCTTCGCTCAACCTCGCCTCCTTTATCCTTGACTTTATAAAGAAATCCGCGCGGGCGGAACGCGATGGGAAGAATCCGATCGAGAGAGATCCGGGCGAGCCGTCGTCTTTCTGTAACTTCTTTTCACGATGAAGTTACCCGCTCGCGTAATCGATCGCGCTTCAGGCAACAGCCGAAGAGGCCTGTCTCTCTGAAGAGGTCTGTCTTCGTGACATTTTGCGCATCTTATATACCGTTCTGCTGCGATCTTAACGGATGAGAAGTCGAAGTGATCGGACTTTTAGAGTTTTTCTTAAAAAAAATAAAATAAAATAAAATAAAATATAATTGATGGCAATCGTCATTGGGAACCCCCTGAGGGATTGGATCGAAGTCCAAGTTCGTGGTCAAGCCGCAAACACGATGTGCCTTGGGCACCGCATCTGTGCGGATGCATGGGTGACGACGGCGTGGGAGAGACGCGCGCTTACGTAGTCTCTCTCACGTCTACACGCGGAGTGCTATGTAATTCCAATCCAATCGTTGCGGTCACGTTATTAATAATACCTGAACAACGGTGGGCGTAGACCGTGCAATTAGTAACTTCCTCTCTTGGCGTAAGAAGTTACGAGCACGCATAGGAAGAAGGACGATACGTTATGTATGTTATGCGCGTTTGGCACCCACGGCACGTCCTTCAATAACGCGGACATTTCGATTTTAACATGCGGGTCGGCGAGCGCGAGTAAAGCTGACAATGAGAGCGAAAGTCGCGCTTCGAGCGCGACAGACAGCGGCATGAGGGCTTGGCAAGAATCGAATATAATAATAAATCATAAGCGAGCGTCGTGTTGCGGTGGGCGCGTTGAAATAAATATACATGACGAAACTATCTATTTTTCAGATTTTTACTTTGTACGAAAAATTTTATTTTTTTAGTTTAATCAAAATTGCAAAAAGTTTTGCATCAAATGTGTTTTGTTTCAAATGGTATATTCAAGAAAATTGAAATTTAATGAGTTTTTTTTGTATAAATTTTATTCTAATATTTTTTTAAAGTAAAAAGTTTGCGTTGATCATTGGTTTCATGTTGCTCCGACTAAAGTTTATATAATTTTGTGTACAGTATATATTTTACAGAATAAAAATTATTTTTACTAGATTTAAAAAAAATATTTCGTATTTTTATAGAAGGAATTCTCTATGCTTGCATATAAAAAAAAATCATCTATTTTGGAATGAAATAAACTCGATACGTAAATCTTTATCGCGATCTGGCAATCTATCTAGCAGCCGAGGAGCAAGGACCGATTGCGTGTACCACAAGGAAGTTTCGTCGATTCTTAATAGACGGTAGTACATTAGAAATACGCAAGCCATCCGAGAAACACGCAGACGGATTACGAGATCGTAAGCGGAGACGATGCGGTGAAAGTGAGATTAGGTACTGTACGGGATGATGGTACGCGTGGATCGAGTCAAGATACCGCACGCGAGATTCCCATAGGATATTCCAAATTCAATCTGTTCGTGGAGTGAACGAATTTATAAATACATAGACATATTCTCGTTGTATTATAAAATTGTCAGACATGTGAATTCCTATTATAAAGATGTCATGTTTAAATTGGAACGGAGAATTTTTTAAAAATATTTTCGATATACTTTAAAAACATAACGATCAATGTAATGTCAAATATTCGGACAATATAGCGGTGTAAGATATTAATAAAATGGTAGTAAATAAATGGAGATAAAGATTATTATTTTTTTGTAGCTCCTCGCTTAATTTTATACAATATTATATAACAATTTAGAATACCTCTCTTCATAATTTTTTTTCACAGAAAAGAATGTTATAAAAAAATAGCTGTACTTTAGGAAAAATAATGTATAATTTATAGCAGTAATTTTTCTATTCAATTATATGAAGAAAATTACTTGTTGAAGTTATTAATTATGCACTAATAATTAATCCTTCTGAGATCCGTGAAACGCGATCCAAGTCTCCGATCCATCTTTCGGAAATTATGATTTTAACAGATATCTAAAAGAAAAATAGGTAATGAAAGTCTTATTTTCACTTAAGAAAGAGATCGAATTATTTATCAATATTCATTAACTACTCATTCACTGGAACGTTTTAATTGTTGCTAAATTAATTATTATGTAGAAGTCGAAGAACCCGCGAGTTAAAATCTTCACGAGAACGAGATATCCGCAGCTTCGGAAAAAAATAGCGCTGATTGCTTCTGCGCTCATTGAAATCGCTAATTATTTTCAACGCGTGTCCCGATAACTGTACACCAGATGTCGAATAAATATAAGAAAACGTCGGGACAAAACAAGACGAGACGAGCGGCGAAGCGCGGATAACGGTAACGCGTGACGCGCTCGTTTCACCTGTCCCAATATGTCTTATATCCGATATAGTCGATCCCCCTTGGCCCGCAAGAGAGGAGAAACGAGCCGGTGTAACGAGCGCGCGCGTGTCCAACAATTTACATATATGGCGCAAAGTGCATCATCGCGCGGTGCGGCAAGTGTGCAAGGTGCAATCGCAGGGTTCTCTTCTTCGGGCGCATCTCTTACGTTCGTGTGCGCCGTCACACACGAACCGCACGTTGATACCCACCTGAGGAGGAAGGAAACTGAGAGAGGCCTGCGCGGCTGTATGTCAGGGGGCCAAGCTAACGGTCCACCCAGACTCTCATCGGGACTCTCCGTAATCCAATCGTTGCAACGCAACTCGCGTCTTGCTTTTCTCTCCTCTTTTCTCTCCTTCTCTCCCCTTATCAGCCGCCTTCCTTTCGCGGCTCCCCGGCTCGTTGCACATATGTCGCATCGGACCGTGACGTTCATCCGGAAGACTGAATTCACTGAAACGATCGCGATAGATTTCTGCTACTTCCTTCCGAAGAACGCCAAGAACGATCAGTTCTACCGGCTCTGCCGAAACAAAACCGCAATATTATGCTCCTCCTATTGAATTCAATGACTTCATTTACCTCGCGTTTATTCGCTCGAAAATGTTCCATTGTTCCATTGGAATGGAATAGTGTCGGAATATAATTAAAAATGCTTAAAGATGCTTTAAATTAATATCATCTTTTAAATCGATTTAATGTTATTCGTATGTTAATTGTGGAACTTTTTAGTTTCCTCTCTTGCGTCCTAATAAAATCTTTGACATTTAATTTTCTCGTTCGAAAAATATATTTTTATCAGACTTTGCTTTAACGTAATACAAAAAAAAAAAACAGAATCTATTCACCAACAGCAATAATTGTTAATGATGAAAGCATCCATTAAGGATTAATTATTTCCATGTTACAGATGCGGAAGTTACGGGGGAACGAGGGGAACCAACCGATACAGGCAGCATCTCGCATAGAGAAGAAAATTTTCAGAGATGATGGTCACATGGTATATAATTCTTGAACGCAACTTTTTTACTAATAATCTTCAATATACAAATGCATGTTCGAAATTACTTTAAATATTCTATATATATTTCAACTATATATTGTTCTATATACGTAATTATTTATTATCATTAATAATTTCCCACAATATCTCTCATCGCGATATAAGTGCGTAATGACATAAGCCATTAAGGTGGGGTATCCTTTAAGGTGAGGTCATATATGCGCGCAATAGAATCCGACAGAGCCATAAATGAAATCGAGGTCGAGCGCCTCCGTGAACTCGCGCTTGAACAGCAGGAAGTCATCGAAATACTTAGACAGGCAGTTAAGGTAATGGAATTTTCTTAAGGAAGTAGACAAGTTGAAAATTCTTTAAATATAATTTTTTACTTCTTGTAAGTTTTAAGGTTTCTAAAAAGTTAGAATACTAAAATTATTATGTTTTGGGTTTTGAAAGAAAGATATTTCAATCTAAAATTTATGAACTTTTGAAAAGATACATATAAAATAAGAATGTAGATATCTTAATTTGAAAAAAGGTATTAGATTATTAAAACAAATTAAATTTCGCATTCTAATAAAAATAACCAACTCTAATAGAAATTTGAGAAATATAAAAATGCATATTTTTCTGTTACTCAAGGAGAGAGAGAGAAAGTTGGAGCAGTTATCCAATAAGAAAAGGAAGGAGGAATTTTATAAACAGTGGTTAGAGTTAGAACCGGTAGCCGAAGTGGATGACGAGGAGGATCATGAAGATGATGACAGCGCTCTATCGAGCGCCCCGTCCTCGATGTCGCCACAACCTGGGGGCTATGGTCAGTGGCAGGGCAATGGTGTCACTAGAGAAGCGTACGAAGCCGTTCTCGTTGAGATCGAAGAGCTACAGTCGAAGCTTCTTAAAGAGCAGCGCGAACTGTCGCATGCCAAGATTCAAATTTGCGACTTGGAGAAAGCACTCTTGCAAGAGGTAAAATTTTTTCGCTTATAATTCTTGGCAATTTTTTTCAGTTAAGTTTTATAATATAGGATAAATCTAATTTAGGAATATCAAGAATTTATAATTTTTAATGCATTTGAGAGTTTTTATAAAGAAGGCTCTTTTGTGTTTCACAGAGATGTGCCGATCGTGACAAGGAGTTGAGTGAGCTGAACGATAAGCTTCGAGCTGCCGAAGAACGAGAAGCCGCACTTTTGGTGGAGCTCTCCGAGATACGAGAGCAAAATGAGCTGCTGGAATTTCGATTGCTCGAAATGGAGGAAATACCTATGCGCAAGGACAGTCCCGACGCGGTGGACAGCGGCATCGTCTCACCGGAGCCGGCCCACACGAACAAGGTGAGCATCCCTTTCGAATATACGTTCAAATATAAAATATTAATCAAATATAAATATTATATAGCTCCAAATTAATTAGTACAAATGAAAATAATTTAGTCACTTGAGCAATCTCTTTATTGTTGATCGCTGGCAGTCGTGCGTGTACCTTCCCTCTATTTCTTGCAAATGCAACGATTGCAATGATATTTCAGGATCATTCAATCAACAAACAGAGAAGTCGCGCCGTGGCAACCGTGATACCCTACACGAATAACGCTACAATAAACTCTGTGAAATCCACGTCACCCGTGTTACCGCGAAAGCTCCCGTTGACCCTTCAGGAGAGCGGCATCTTCGAGGAGGAAGAGGAGGAAGAAGATGAAGAGGAGCGCGACGTCGAGTTCGCCAGCCGCGGCACTCAGACGGAAGCACCGTCCGGCGAACTCCTGCAGGAGGTGCAACGTCTCCAGGAATTAAGGGCTCGAATTCAGGAACGAGCGGCCAAGATCACAGCACCGGTCTTCCATCCGATCGATTCGTCCAAGATCTGCTTCGATGTGTCGACAATGGATTCGATAGTGCAGCTGACCTCCTACCAGGAGCGCGTTCGCGACCTCGAGGAGAAACTCGAGACGTACGAGGAAGTCGGGAGGAGTCGGGAACGAGAAAAGCGGCTGTCGAAACAGCGGGAAGAGGAGCTGTTGGATGAAAACTATAGACTTACGGAGAGAATATACTGGTTGGAAAACGAACTGCGGACTGCCGGCGCGAAATGTACCTTCGGCAAGAATAACAGCGGAGATACAGGCGAGACAATTGTCGTACAGCAAGTGAAGAACGTGGACCAAAGTAAGCACCAAGTTCCGGAGGATGTACAGAACTTGGAAGGTGTAAAGGATCAACTTAAAGATGCGAATTGCACGCGCGCTGTTCAAACCATAGAAACGTACGGAAATTACATGTCTATAGAGTGCTCTCGATGCCAAGATAAGGACAGATCCGACCAACAGATCACTCTGGGTGCTCAACACAATATCACGGTACGTAATTTATGTTAGATTAATCTAACTTTTTTTTTAAAACTTATTTGTCGATTTGATTAACATAAATTCTATGTTATATTGATCTTTTTTTAAATTTATTTGTCGATTAAATAGCATTAATTCCATTGATCTGTAATAGAGATAACCACATTTCTTCTCTAGTTCAATGGAAACGATTACTATACCTATATTTTACAGGATGAGAGGGAGAAGGAAGACGAATTGAAACTCAGTAAATCCGAAGAAGCGGCCGTTATTGATCTTACCAAAAACAATTCAGAAAAGAAGGTTAGACGAAGACGAGTTAGGAGTAACGAGCGCGAGATACGATCCGTGAAAACAGCAAGAATGACAAACAGATTCGTCCGCGACGTCTCCTTCGGGCGAAGAAGCCATCCGTTGGTCTTGTATCAGGAAATTTGCGTTTAGCTATACGCCGCCGCTATGTCGAATCTTTAACAACGAACTTTCGTAAAGACGGGCGTGATTTAAAGATCCGATAACATCGCCTAGTTAACTTTCGCTGTAATTCCCCGTTTTCACACCGAAGAAAGTTGTGCTCGCGCGTTATAATTGAAAGTTGGTGCCTGCCCAAGTTGCACGTGTAGTTTTTGAGAAGCTGGAAGGAACCTCCCTCGCGATAGAGGATCGCGCGGAAGAAAGCGCGTGTTCTCCGGAGCGACCAGGGCTTCCAGAAAATAGCGGCGAACAGAAGAAAACCGAGGTCGTGGAGAAAAAAAAATGTGGATGAGGAGGTGAGGAGGAGAAGGAGAAGGAAAGCTAACGACTGCATACCCTACCTTACGTCTTTGAGTGTACGTATATGAGACAGACGACCGACACGAGCTCAGTTTTCTTTGGAAAATACGAAAAAAGATGCAACTATTAAACATGATAGCTAAATGGATCCAACAGATTCTGCAAGAAATTTTTTTGCAGACATTTTGGAGAATGTTTTCGGTAAATTTGACTGTCTGAGATACTGCTAATATTTTGCTTGCTGGAATATTCTAGCGTTACAATTTTTTTTTTATTTTTTTTAGTTATGCTTGTGATATTAATATTTTCAAAATTGTCGCGGTAATAATAATAATCATATTTGCATTTTTAAATTATCAAATTCAGTGTATGTAGACTCTTAATTCTTCTATGTATTTTGATTAGAGAATATTCATCGAACCGTTCAAAGTACTCCGATTACATAGCTATTTGGACCGTAGTAGCGCTTTGTAGCACGTTTCCGTCACGGCATAGTCACATTATACATTACGCGTTTGTTACACCAGTTGGTGATGGTAATGATATTATGCTTCTCTTCTCCTATTTTCTTCATCTGTCTCATAGGAATTAATCGCTATGAATGTATTCGTAAAAATAATATCCATAGCAGGCATTAATTTCATTAAGAATACAAAAAATTGCTTTATTTCAAGAAAATAATACGCACTGAAATTTAATGTATAGCGATATTACATCTTTTCGCTACGTTTAAAACATTACTGCTGCTATATAGCGAATTCGATCACCACAAAATACCACACAAAATTTTTTAAGCAATTACAGTCGCCTTTTATTTAATGGACAATTTACGTGATGATTATCTTTTATAGCGAAATAATTAAAACTCTCTCGTACAGCACAAAAAAATTATAGAAACAATCCAGAAATATTTCATTATTACCAAGTATTGTGGAATAATATCTTTTACAATATTTCTTTAATTAATATCGCTATAAATTGCTGAAATTGCATGTCTTTCTACATACAATGTCTTTAAATATTTTACAAAATTACAATGTTGCTGTAGTATAATTGAAACATTTCTGTGCTGTATGGGAAACGCGATGTAAAGCTCATGCTTCACCGTGGGTGTACTTTACGCAGGTGATCTATTTTCGCTGGAGATAAAGGCGAGAAGAGGTTCTCCGTCGTCTCTCGTCGTCGCAGACTCTGTCCATCAGCCCACGAGTTCCACGGAGGAGTCAATGAACCCGTGGGTGAAACCCGCGGCACAAACGAGGTAAGGTAACGTTTCTAAATGCTCATTAATATTAATAAGCGGCGAATCGTAGTAGCTTCCCGGGCGACTCAAAACATGAGCTTTAAATTCAGTTCGTTCTGCAAATTTGACGCCGATTTATGTCTGCGTATCCGATATTACTCATTCGCAAGTAAAATAAGGACGTGCAAGATAAACATGGCGCAGAGACACATTATGTACAACGATCGGTTGACTTTGAGTCCGTTTATCTACAATTGATCTGGCTTCGATTCTCTCATTGATTTTGAATCGCAAGCTCAACAGCTCGATCACATAAATTCTTTTTATGACTTGTTACAGGACAATACGGCTGGCGCTGCTTGGTGTGCCCAAGTGACGATCAGAAATGGTACGTCCTAGAAGTAAAAACGAGGGCGCCTGCGGATCGAGTGCCAACCTGAACCCTCGGTTATGGCGTACTTCACCTCTCCACGTCACGACCAATCTTTTCGTACAAGCTGTGAAATCAAGTGCCAAATAAGCCGTAGATTATAAATATCTCTCCCTCACACGCGAGCGTAAATTACATAAAGCGTTACTGCAAAATAACTATAACGAAAATAACTGTAACCATGCTTTGTAATAATTATTACAACATGCAATAATTATTACAAAATAATTGCAAAATAATTTCACATATGATTCGAGACATTTGCGATCGATTGCATTTTTTTTAAGAGATGGGGATACGCCCAGAGGAAATCAGATTGAGAACGACTGCGCTAAACGGACGTGTCCTTGTTAGCGACGTATCAAATGTATCTCTGACTCCCTAGTGCGTCTCTATCGAAATTTAAATTCACGTTTCGATGTAAATTTAAATTTGATACGACGAAGGGAAAGGCTACGCACCTGTTGGCTAATTTGAGATGGCACACGTCTCGTGTGCGTCACAAATTGCCACGTATGATACTGTTCGTGATACTGTGCATACAGCGATCTACAAAGACATGTCTGTGCAGTGCCTTTCGCGCTGAGAACAAAGATTCTATAGTGTCTATATCAACGACTATTGGAGATTGTTATTATATTTCCGTTCACATTATACACTGCGTGAAGAGTCGTTAGAAAGAGTAATTGTAGGAAAGTAATATATATATATACACAAGAAATATATAGATTTCTCAACAATTCACTCTACTTCGATATCTTCTTCTTTTAAGTTTTTTCTTTTTAAATCTTTGTACGCCGATTTTATACGCGATGTAAGGCATATAATAGAATTGTATACTGAATTAAAGCGAGATAATTGCTACCTTCACCGTAGGATAATTTCATCGAATCTTATCGAAACTTAAGCTATATAGGCTTGCGTGTGTCTCTATTATATATCTGAAAAATATATACGTATACGCGCGTATGTATGCTTCAGCATTTAACGTTCATTGCGTATTAAGTGTGAACAATGTGTTTCTAGTCCTACTTTTCGTTCGATCGATTTTGAACATATAACGAGCGTGCCTTAGCATGTTGTATCGATCTTGAGTGATTTGGTAGATTTTAGTATCTTTCGCAAGAAGTGTGTGTATACCCAAACGCTTACCGTATTTATGCTGTATAAATTTTCGAAGCAAAAAGCGATGCGATCAAGCCTGTTCCGCTATGGCTATTTGCCACGTTCACAGGTTCGTTTCATACTTAGAATTGATTTTATTCGTCGTGTGTGTATCTACAAGAAACGAATAAAAACTTGTCCACCTATTTTTCTGTCTCTTTTATTACTAAACTGCTAATCTTTAGAACGAATAAGCTAACTGAACATTATTTTATTTAAATAGAATTTCATTCAAACGATAATAAAACGACAAATTCTACTTTATTTCTTCAACTAATCTGTCATCATATTTTGTTAGCAGATTCCATTATATTTCTGCGAACAAAAAGATGTAGATTATAGTAGACACTTTAAAATATATTTATTGGCAGATTTGATTGTCTGAATATGCTGTTACTTGTAATACGTTCTTGCTGCTATGTTTTTTGAACAGAGGATTTGGACGTGTTTTCAGGGATTTTCGTCTTGTCGGGCACTCGTTTGCCATAGGCGGTAGATGCAGCGACGCCCATTAATAAGGATGGCAGTGTACATTCCATAAAACGAACTCTCTCGACGAGTACGTTACGTCTCTTCTCCAACGAAGCGTTTCTCTTCTCGTAACTCTTCAACATTTGTCTCCAATAACTCGTTTTATTGATATTGATTTCACTTGCAGATCTATCTATATTGGTATTCGACGCGGCGGCTGTTGATGTTCTTGAAAAATCAGCCATCGTTCACAGAAAATTTTGACAAGCTGAGACTAGGTTACTAGACGAACGTTAGACTTACATCGTGAAGTGTCTTCCGTTAACTATTAACATCGCAGATAAAAATCCTTCAAATTTCGAGTCACGATGGCGCCGGTATACGCACCGAAAGAGACATAGCGGTACGAAATGACAAGTGACATGGCGATATAAAGTGAAAATGGCTCGACATTATCGGGACTCGTCGGAATCGTCCGTGTTACCGTCGCGCCGTTATTACTTCAGATTAGACCGAATTTATTTAAATTAAACACGATGGAAGTGATAGGCGATGCGAAAGATGTCGCAAGACTTCGTCCTCTTGCCATCGCGATTCCATCGAAGCAAGGTATTGTGCTGATGGGTCGCGATTCTTCGCCAGGCACTACGAATTCGCGATCCGAAATGCCCCTTTGTCCTGCATATCGCTTATGCAAAGAGTCGAGAGGGCCTTATCGTCCGCCCATGCTTGATACCGAACATGATCAGCAAGTAGGTCGAATTCAGAAATCAAATCTGCAATACGTATTTCTTGCTTTGTGTTACAATATAATTTTATAATTTCTTTTATCTGTTCAATTATCAATAAATAATAAGAAAATTTAATTTATTGTAAGTAACGGACATACAAGCATTTAGAATTTTATCTTAAAAGACGACATAAAGAAGCTTTAATAATCATCGCAAAATAAGTAGTGATTTTTATTAGAAAATCAATAAAATGTTCAATTTAATGTTTGCACATATGTGAGTTCATAATTGTCTGTTAGTCATTAGAAGGAAATAATAAATTGCTAACAGATCACGATGCTCCATGATTTATTGCAAGCAATCAAGGAAGCTGCGTTAAGATTGATACAATTAATCACGAGCGTAGAAGTGCGACGGAGGAAAGACGCAGATCCTCGAATGCACAATCCTGATTCAGGACGATACGAGAGTAGTCAAGTAATAAAATTTTTATTCTTGAATTTATTATTGTCACACTTACGGTAAAAAAAAAATTGAAAATAAAATGGCATTAATTGAAAATAACTTTCATTAGCCGCGTAGTCCTGGATCTGAATTAATCGCGACTACGTCCTCCTCGGTTTGTGCACTCTGTGGCGTGTCGCTTCACCTGGAGGATTCTTCGAAGGAATCGAGGCGATTCGTGATCGATACAGAAAGAAGTGATGATTACAGTCACGACATCTCATCGAAACATCTTGATTTTGATAATATTTTGAAAACGATCTATGAAATTTCTCTGGCTGCCGAAAAGCATAAAAAAGGCGATAATCTTTCTATTCCTGGAAGTGTATTAGACTATTTTTTTTCCAAAGAGAATGATAGCATTGACATGCGCGCGAAAGGACAAGAGAAAAAAATCTCTTCAAAAACCCAATCGACTGATACAAGTGAGAACGGATTAAAGTTGTTGTTTGTACAACAAGCACCTTCCGACAGAACCACGAGTCAAATACGTCAAGATGAGCCTCAGCGGAAGTATGACAGTGCAAAACAAGTGCCGAAATACGTTAGTAAGTAAGAAAAAAAACAGGTTTTATCTCTGAAAAGAATTTCTGTCACTTCTCGTATTTTACAAGGACGGATGAAGAGATAACAGGTACTATTTATAAGCAATCATTGTTGTTTATGTGAAATAGCTAACAAACGCAAAAATAAAATCAATGAATCGTCACATCAATGTATCGTCAATATATCGTCTTCAATTTCCTCCACCCGAGATGCATCGACGCTTACTGAGGAAATGGTAAATCAAATTTATTATTCATACTAAGAAAATTGTTCGAGAATAACTCTTTGTCTAGTTGAGAAGGAATATTTCCTATTTAAAATCATTTGGAAAATAGAATGCGATATAATAAGAAAACTTACGCAATAGCAGTTTTTTAAATTGTAATTGTATATCGTAATATGGGTAGATATTTCAATATCTTTTTAATTTTAAAGATAAAATATGTTGTAAAAAATCGTAGTTATAATTAAATTAATAATAATAATAATTAATTGTACGGAATTGTTTTCAGCTCTGTCCATGCGCATGTGGATTGCTTGTGAAAAATGAAAGCGAAGTTTCTATCAATCCAATGCCTATA